TAAAGCAAGAGGGTGCCTGGAGGTGCCCAGGAGCCTCCAAACATCAGACTGGAGCAGGAAAGAGGAGCAGCACAAAAAGGGAGTCATGAGTTTCAGGGATCTTGGGGGCCATGGTAAGGATTTTGGCATTTAGTACTAGGGAGATGGGATTCAATGGAGGATTTGAGCAGAGGAGGAACATAGTGAAATTCACCTTCAATAGGATGACTGGTGGCTTCCGTGCGAAGCGGGTAGGAAAATGGTAAGAGACAACTGCTGTCATTCAGGCAGGAGATAAGGAATCTTGGCCCAGAGTGGTGGCAGTGGACGAGGTAAGAAGTGCTCAGATCCCACGTCTACCTGGCTGGAGAAGTTAGCAATGAAAGGAGTAGAGGATGAGCGAGGTTTTTGCTTCAGAACTGTATCTCCGGTCCAGACTCCAGTGCTGAACTTCACATCAGCTTATACAGATGACTAATGCCAAATCAACTATCAGCTCCCGTAAAATTCCCTTTTCTCTTTCCTCCAGTATTATCTGTCACTGGGAAGGGGCTGGTCACCATTCACCAAGTGGACCAAAGCCAGAGACCTGCAAGTCCATCCTCTAAAACGGCTTAGCCATCTTTCACTACACTATTGTTAGCCATTCAACAAGTAGGTGTTAAGTGCCTTCTGTGCACTATTTTCTGGTCCTTTAATATTTATAAGAAGGCATAGCACAGGGAATAACATAAACCAATTAGTTAAAAGATTATCCAGCCTGCTTTCTGTCCCTCCCCATGAAATGCATCCTTCACTCTGATTTTCAAATGATCTTTAGAGGATGCAGAAAAAAACTAGGTGATTTCCTTGCTCAAAGGCTATTACTGGCCAAGTGTAGTGGCACATGACTGTAATTCTAGCTACTTAGGAGGCTGAGGTAGGAGGATCACAAGTTTGAGGCCAGCCTCAGCAACTTAGCAAGGTCCTGTCTCAAAATAAAAAAGAAAAGAAAAGGGGGCTGGAGATGTAGTTCAGTGGTAAAACATCCCTGGGTTAAGTCCCCAGTACCAATAAACAAATAAAAACCATTGCTGACTTCCTGTTGCATTCAAGGTAAAGTTTCATTCTCCTTAGTTTGGTAGTCAGGACTCTCCTGACGGGACACAACCTTTCTTTGTACCTTTACCCTTTACCCACCATGTCTTACTAATTCTCAGCTACTCGTCGTCGACTCAAACCAGAACATTCACTATTGCCCAAGTGGTTTCTCACATGTTCCTGCTTCTATGCCCTCACCGTGGATGTTCTCTCTGCCTGAAATTTCCTTTCGTATCTAAATGTTGCCCATTCTTCAAGGGCAAGTCCAGATACCACCTCCCTCTGTGCTCTTCTCCCTGAGAATTACATTCCCCTTCCCATGTTTCATAGCTCTTTGTCCCTTGTTCTGCCCTGTGCTTCTCTTGCCTTGCCTGCACGATTACTGGTGAGAGACAGAGCTGCTGTCCCCAGAGTACTTGTGTATCAGCTCATCAGCTAAACACTCTGTATATAATTAACCCCCCTCAATATCCCTGCAATCCCCAGGCAGGGAACTGATATTAACATTCAACAGACTAAACTGAATGATGTTTCTTAAAAGAGGTAGATGAGTCTGTTGGGTTGGTGACATCATTTGGGGGGCCTCTATAAATGACATTGTCTTCCTCCAGGTACTGGAAGGGGTACTGAAAAAGCAGCTGCCATGTCATTGCCTTTGGTTAGTTCTTGGTTTAAAATAAGAAGTTGAGTAGGACAGAAACAGGGCCATCCAAACCCAACCCTTCCCATAAGAAAACTGTGGTTGGGGGGAGGATGTAAAAAGGCAAAAATGTCAAGAACGATGGGCATTTTTTATTTGCAGCAGTACATAGTGTTAGATTTGTGGTATCAAGAAATTGGGTACCAGTCCAAGCTGTGCCTCTGACTTGATCTCTCCCCTTCACTGGTTCCACACTTTCTTCTATAAAATGAGGTGGCTGGATCTCTGAAAAGACTCTATCTCTGGTTTTAGCCCTCTTTATTTTTCTGATCCTTTTCTGCTGGTTCTCCAAACCATGAAACACAACATCTTCCTTAGGAATCTTTTCTGTTTCCTTTCAGGATGATTATTTCTGACTCAATCTTGGAAGGTGTGCTTCTACAAGTTCCCAAAGGAAAACACCCATGAGGTTCTTGCCTGCTTGAAGTAAATACCACCTTGGGCCAGCCACCCCATATGTAACCTGGGAATAACATCGAATTGCAGGGATATTGAGGGGGGTTAATTATATACAGAGTGTTTAGGGGGTGAGCAGATACACAAGTACTCTGGATGTTCTTGGCATAATACCATAGCATTACAATAATTCTGGCTTGCAAATTATAGCCCAGCTGAGGCATCACATGGGAAAGTGGGTCTGACCCTTTGGCTTGCTGAAAGTAAAATGGAAAAAATAAGTTGTGAAATATAACTTCTCTTCCTAAATTTCTGGTAAAAGCAGAGATAACCCTTCCATGTGCAACCCACATGCAGGGAACATGCTTCCAGTTCCTGGAGAGGACTTTCTTGTCCCAGGAGCTCTGGCCCACTGCCAGGATCTAGCTGCTAGCTGCTTCTTTTCCAGGGCCTAAGCAGACAGGGGAAGGGAGGGAAATGGAGAGAATGGAGGGTGGATGAAAGGTGGGGTTTAAGACGAGGATGTCCTTGCTTTTCAGGTTTTCTATTGGGGATAGAATTATCTATGCAGGATAATTAAGTGCTTATGTGGCAAAGAAGTGATTTAAAGGGTAACTTGAGATGTTTAAGTCTAGGGATACCCAAAATAAACATCTTATCCTTCAACTTCTGGGTCCTCTCCCTATCTCCCCCAGAATATGCCCCCCCCCACACACAACACACAACAGTTTTTGAGATTATTTTCTTGAAATACTAAATGAATAGATTTCAGGTAAGAAGTTGATGATGCTTTCTGTGACTGTGTGGGGATCACATAGTGCGTTTGGAAAATTCAACTGGCCACAGAGGATGATAGTGCAATCTGACCAGAGAGAGCAGCAAGTAGCTTGTTACTGAAGGAATATTTGCAGTCAGTCCCACCGCATGACTGTGTAGGGCTGAGTACACAGAGAACAGCCTTCAGAGTGAAACCCAAGTTGGAGTTCTGCTTCACCCCTGTGGTCTCAGGCCATAGTCTGAACAGGTTACACAGAGAGAAAGAGGTAACCACTCTGGCCCTCTAGATCCAAGAGGTCTCAGACTGAGTTTGGCCTCAGCTCTAGGAGGCCGCTGATCTTGCTGCCTGTCATAATGGGTCCCACTGTTCCTAATACAGGATTCCGGAAAAACAGATTGCCCCAAGGCCCATCAATGATATACAGATAGCAGATGGAGAATATGGATTTGGGGATTGTTTTAGTAAATCAACATGCTTAGAGAATTTTCACTTCTCAGGTACCCACATCTTAGGGTCAAACTATATTCTGGGGTTGCATGACCACATCCTAAGTTGCACCCAGCCCTAGAGGCATCTACCTTGATTTCAGGCAAGAGTTTGGTATTAACAGGGAGTCTCCAGCTTTTCCCCAGGAAAAGCTACCCTGAGCAAGCTGTGCCCCTCTTTCAGCCTCAGTTTTCCTCAGACCAAAGAATGGTCTTAACTTGCACCATTATGGTGTCATCAGCTTTGAGAATTGGCATCTGAGCTCGTCATCTGTGTGACTTTCTATGAGACCTCAGTTTCTCCATCTGTAAAATAAGGCCCTGCCAGCTCCTGCAACTTTAGGCTTTAAGCGTACCCACAGCTTGTTCCGCCAGGTTGGCAGTGAACCGGGTTAAAGCCCCAACTTCCTCAGAGGTGAAAAGGTAAGCAAACATTCCCACCTCCCCTTAGCCTGGCTCTGGGATTGGTGCCTGGTCCGGCCCCCGCCGCCTATCCCGTCCGCATCCGTCATCTGGATTGGTAATACTCTCATTAGCATAAAGATTCCTCCAAAGACCTGGCGTACGGTGACTGAACCGGAGTCTCTGTCCCTTTAAGGAGGGTTCCTAAGGGTATTTGGCACCGCATTTCCTCTACACGGGCCACGCTGTAAACTAGAAAGGTCTAGTGTTAATCTTCACTTCCGCCGCCTACTCCGACAGTGGGCATCCTTGGGGTGCACAGCCCTGGGCCCGGGGGACTGAAGACGCGTTTGGCCTCTGCAGGCTGCAGGGTCAGCCTGGCAACCTCTCGCCCGAGGCGGTAGCGGGCTGCCAACGAGGGAAAGCCCGCCGCGAAGCAGGACCCGGGCGCCCTAGGGCACGACCCGGGGGTTGGCGCCGAGGCAGCCGCAGGAGGTGGCGCGTGCTGGAAGGGAGACGTGCGCCCGCTGAGGACCCGGCGCAGGGAAGGCGGGGCTTGGCCAGCGGTCTGGCGGCCCTGCTCGCGGGACTGGGCGGGGCTGGGTCTGCGGGGGCGGG